GGTGTTTTTTATATTTACAAATTATAAAAAATTCAAAAATAAATATACATAAATATTTAAGCTTTATCTGCTAGGGTTACAAATGCGCTTGCTTCAAAACCGATCTGTTAATAGATGCGTCTAAGGACGTGTTTCAATCGTATATATATATAGTATATAATGCGTGTATTATATAACCAATCCGTGTATCCGATTATCTTAATTGAAACGAGGGAAGGGTCAACTAAGTTACTAAATTACATTTCAGTACAGTTAGAATTTAGTTATCGCTGCTTACGCTGGGTGTTAATTCAAAATGGTTAAAATATTTGCTGGCAACTGTTACGTATATGCTTGTTGTATGTATATGTGTATAGAATATGTATAAATATAATACAAATATAAGTTCGCTTAGTGCACGCTATATGTTTATAGTTAATTTTTGCTAAACGATCACAAATAACCAGGCACTCACACAGGCACTCGCAATAGCTCATTCAGACATGTTCATTCACGCATACTCACACGCTTACAGATTAGAATTTCGCGCTTACGACTTAGGTTAATGGACTTAAATCTTCTAAATGGGGGAGAGTGGTAAGGGGACTCGTTACGTCGTCCTTTCATTTAGCCAACGTTGGACAGCACTTTCCAAAGGGCAGCAATTATCGATAAGTAATCGATAAACTGGCTCCTTTCGAGAGGCTTGGCCAGAGCTGGGGAGGGCTTCGTATTTTTGCTCATTGCTTTTTCATTGCTTTGACAAAAGTTTTTATAAAATTTTGGACTTGCATTTCGTATAAAAGAAGTTCTAATAACATTTTTGTTTCATGGATGAATGACTGAGAGGTGTGGGCGTGCAGCGGACGGTGGAGCGTCAAGGGCTCCACATCGGCTGCACTTGTTCGCTTGCTCGCTTCGCTTTCGTTGGGGGCAGCGTTTTGTAAAATCACAGCAAATCGGCGCATACGCCGCCGAACCACGCCATATATAGGGGCAGCAGATAGACGACCAGAGCCCTTCGCAGCGTCATCTTCTCCGGTGCGCTGGAGGTGCCTGTGGTGCTACCTGTCGACGAGTCGGGGACGGTGTCTTCTTCGTCATCCCCAATATTGTGGCTGTTGAGCGGATCATCTATATCGTTATTATCGCGGTCCAGATGCGTGGTGTGCACCAGCGGGTTCTTATCATCCACATTGGGACGCGATGTGTGGCTGGTAACGGACGGATTGGTATCCTCATCATCGTCATTCTCGGCATTGACGCGCACCGACGGATGATCCACGTCCGGCTTGTGGCTGGGCTCGAACGGACCTAGGCCAGAGCCTTCGTCATCATCTTCGTCATCCTCGGACCCAGAGCCAGAGCCAGCACCACTGCCCATATATGGTTCCTCTGCAATTCAAGAGCGACAATTAGAATGCAACACTCCTCACAGTTCGCAGCTGACTTACCCTGCTCGCTCCAGTCCACATCCTGACCATTGTAGGCGTTTCGCAAGTGGTTGATGGCGTTCTTCAGATGGAACAGCTGCGTGGACATCTGCGCAGTTTGGCGAGCGCTCGCTGGATTGCCGCTAAACTCAGGATTCGAGCCATGCTCTGTGGTTACCGAGTGCATATATCTGGGAAGGCAAAGTCGTTAATAAGCAGATGCTGGGACCTGTCAGCCTGTCAAGCTCTCACCTGTCTATGGTGTGCCCATTCCAGCACATGCCGTCCACATCGGATGARGTSGCGATGTCCTCATTGCTGCACATCGAGTGCGGCAGGTTCGACCAGAACTTCTTGTAGTCCTTCACACGCTGGCGAATGTCCCGCACAATCTTGTCCAGAATGGGCTCCCTGCTGCCGCCGTTGCTGTCGCCATCGTCGTCGTCGTTGTCGTTGCGAYTGTTCTGCTGCTGTTGCTTGCGTCGCTGCTGCTTGCGGCGTTGCTGCTGACGCCTGTTGCCGCCTCCATTGCCACTGGCCACGCCCTGCTCTTGCGACTGCTGTGCCGATGAGTCCTGCAAGCCGGGCTCGGCCGCTCGCCGCTCACGCAGCACAATCGCCTCATCCAAAGTGGCATCGATGTCCAACGTGTCCGCTTCCGGCGTGCTGTGCGCACGCAGTTCCTGCACGGCGGCGGCAGATGGCGCCAGCAGCATTTTGGGACTAATTGAGCGCTTGGCGCGTCCCAAGGTAGGCTTGCCGCAGCCCTGGAACACACGATTGGTGATGTCCTGACCAGAGTCCTGGAAAAAAAGAGTGTTCGAAGCTATAGATCATGGCATAGAAACGAAGAGCTTTAGAAAGACTTGTGTGAATCAACCAAGGCAAAGTCTTACCATACACTCTATATGGAAACTTAACAGTGTGCTAACCTTTATTTAATACTAGTATTTTTATTATAAATATTGGGAATTATAGACCTTAGCTTATTTATATGAATTATTTATAAAAATTGTATTTGCCATTTGATTCAAATGAAAATAATTATTTATTTTATTATTATTTAAAAACATGTACTATTATTGCTTTGAATGTTATTTTTAGTTATTTCATAATGTAAATAATGCGTACATTTTAATATATTATTGTTATTGTTCATTTTTGTAACTTTTTGTTATATATAACGATAAAAATTAGTAACTATAAAACACTTTTTTTTTTAATTGAACCCTCGACTTGGTGTCGATCTAAAAATACATATGTATATATTTTAAACTCAAGATCAAATTGAGTTCTTCATTAGCTATGAAAGCAGTATTTAAAGGCATATTCTTTCTAATCGATAGCTATTTGCCATCAAATTACGCATTCCCTAATAATTTGTGATGCCTTYKATAGTCAATGAAACTCGCCACAATTGAGGATTCGCTGAGATAATTTCTACAGTTGCATTGCATGGACGCATGCCAAGAGCTATTTATAGCTGGACGTCATACAAAGAAAACCATATATGTTTGATTTACTACTCATGCAATGAGCAACGAGACCCTCAATAAATCGTTGGACGGTCTGGGCTGTCTTATCAGCGCAACTTTATCGAGGGGCGGTAATTGTTGACACGCTGACTACCTCAAGTTGTTTGCAGACTAGACAAACAGACAGTTGCGAGCAACTACCTTTTACAGTTAAGGGTCTGGTTAGGGTTAGGTTTAAGTAGGTCTTATCTAACTGGCAGGCAACAGCAGTCGACAAGCGGCTCTTGGCCTATCCCAACTATAAAACAATACTAACTGTAGTCGCCGGAGCTAAGAGCTGTTGGCAATCTGTGATTTGCTAAAAAATAATGCTTTGAGATGCTAAGAAAAAAACTAATAAGAATTAAATTAAAAACTATTCTGCTTACGCCGTTTGGCCTTTTATGAGGCCGACAAAAAAAAATACACAAAATAAACACATTAAAAACAGAATGCCGCAACAGCAACAACTAAAGATATAGCACACATACACACACACCGAAATAAACAACAAACAAAGTAGAAATGTATAAATTNATTTAAAGGCATATTCTTTCTAATCGATAGCTATTTGCCATCAAATTACGCATTCCCTAATAATTTGTGATGCCTTCTATAGTCAATGAAACTCGCCACAATTGAGGATTCGCTGAGATAATTTCTACAGTTGCATTGCATGGACGCATGCCAAGAGCTATTTATAGCTGGACGTCATACAAAGAAAACCATATATGTTTGATTTACTACTCATGCAATGAGCAACGAGACCCTCAATAAATCGTTGGACGGTCTGGGCTGTCTTATCAGCGCAACTTTATCGAGGGGCGGTAATTGTTGACACGCTGACTACCTCAAGTTGTTTGCAGACTAGACAAACAGACAGTTGCGAGCAACTACCTTTTACAGTTAAGGGTCTGGTTAGGGTTAGGTTTAAGTAGGTCTTATCTAACTGGCAGGCAACAGCAGTCGACAAGCGGCTCTTGGCCTATCCCAACTATAAAACAATACTAACTGTAGTCGCCGGAGCTAAGAGCTGTTGGCAATCTGTGATTTGCTAAAAAWWAWKSYTT